GGTCCTTGTGCTTTGCTAAGCTTGTTCTAAGTAGGTGCTTTAGACCCCTGAGCCATCTCACCAGCCCCTGCCCTTAGTTTTTTGTTTTTGTTTTATTTACTTATTTTTATGCATTTAGCACAGGGTCTATGGGGTGTACAAGATCTACAGGGCCTCACTACACAGATCGGACTCATAGTAATCTCATAGTATTCAGCCTCCCAAGTGCTGGGATTGTTTTTGTTTTTGAGACAGAGTCTTGTTATGCAGTCCAGGCTGCCTTGAATTCATTATATGGCTCAAACTGGTCAACTCCTGGTGGGCCTCTTGCTTCAGCCTCCCAAGTGCTGGCATTACAAGTATGCATCATCAAGCCCAGAAAAAGCTTCTCTTTTCATTATGCTCATGTATTTTTCCTTTTATTTTCTGTCTGTCTCTCTCTCTCTCTCTCTCTCTCTCTCTCTCTCTCTCTCTCTCTTCCTTCTAATAATGAGCTATATCTCCTGCATCCACTCCTCTTTTTTTTTTTTTTCCTTTTTTTGATTTTTCAAAATGTATTTATTTTTGAGACAGGCTCTTACTATGTAGCTCAGGCTGGCCTGCCTCAGCCTCCTATTATGTGGGGGAATTATAGGTGCATACTACCAGGCTTGGGCATTTTTTACTTTGTTGAGGTAGGGTCTCACTTTGTAGTAAGACTGTGAACTATGTAGCTGATGATGACATTAAACTTGTGGAGAGCCATCTGTACCACCCTCCTGAGTGCGGGGATTATAGGTGTGTGCCACCATGGCTGCCTCCCCCTACACTCTAATTTTATTATTTTATTTTATTTTTGTGGTTGGGTCTGCCCGCCCTGGAGGTGGGGCTGGCACAGCATGTGGTGTCTGGGATTAAACTGTGGTCCCTGCACTTTGCCTAAGCTTGCCTAAGCAGGTGCTTTAGACACTTTAGCTATCTCGCCGGCCCTACCCTCTAATCTTGAAAAGATATTTCTTTGAAATAGAGTCTTGCTACATTGCCTAGGTTTGGTTCAAAAGTTGTGATGCTCCTGCCTCTGCTTTCCCAAGTAGCTGGGATTATAGGCATGTGCCAGTACCCTCGGCAAGCTTAGCTTTTAAAAAAATCAACTCAAGGCCAGTAATGTACCTGTGGTAGAGTTCCTATTTAGCATTACATGAGGCTCTGTGTTTAATCCGCAGTACTTGATGGGGGGGGGATTTAAATCCTATTACATGTTTCCATTAAAAATTTATTCACCCAAAATCGGGGCTGGCGAGATGGCTCAGTGGTCTAAAGCACCTACTTGGAACAGGCTTGAGAAAGCACAGGGACCCCGGTTCGATCCCCCAGCACCACATGCCAGCCAGCCGCGCCCCCTGGTGGGCTGAGCTGGCCACACACACACACACACACACAATAAATAAATAAATAAATAAATAAAAGATACTAATGAAAAAAAAATTTATTCACCCCAAATCATTAAAAAACAAGTATTCAGGGCTGGTGAGATGGCTCGGTGGTCTGAAGCACCTACTTGGAACAAGCTTGGCAGAGCAGAGGGACCGCGGTTCGATCCCCCAGCACCACATGCCGGCCAGCCCCGCCCCCTGGTGGGCTGAGCTGGCCACACACACACACACACACACACACACACACAAATAAATAAATAAATAAATTTAAAAAAATTCTTCATTAAAAAAAAAAACAAGTATTCAAACAAATACTTGTAGTTCGGGGTGAATGTTCACAATAGTAAAAAAGTAAAAATAAGGTCAGGCATGATTGTTCACATTAAAATCCAGCAGGTCTCTGGGAGGCTAAGGCAGGAAGACTGAAAGTTCAAGGCCATCCTGGGCTACCTATCTAGGCACTGCTCTCCAGCCCTTATCAAAAGTAAAAACCAGGGGGGCTTGCGGGTTAGCACAGTTGTTTAAGTGCCTGCAAGGACAAACCCAGTCAGGCACAGGGGACTGAGGTTCAATCCCCAGCTCCACATGCCTTACCAGACCCACCCTTAAGGCAGCCTGAACCAGCCAAAAAAAAAAAAAAAAGTGTTTGTGGACAGGATATCATGTTTGCATCTCGTACAATGAATAACCACTAAGACAACAATATGCAATGTATTAATTATTGAAGCTGTGCTAGTACTCTTTTTTTTTTTTTTTTTTTGTGGAAGCAGGGATTGAACTCAGGCCCTTGTGCTTGCCAGGGAAGTGCTTATTCTACTGAGTCATCTCCCCAGCCCCTAGTAATCTGTTTTTTGTTTGTTTTGTTTGTTTGTTTTGGTTTTTTTGGGTTTTTTCATAATACCGGGAATTGAACTCAGGACCCTGTTCTTGCCAGGCAGGCACTTATTCAACTATGCTATCTCCCCAGCCCTAGTAATCTGTTTTGAAACTGTCTCATTGCTATTTGTTTCTCAATAAAATTATTTTTAAAAAAAGTGAAAACCACCTGGCTGTCCATCAGTGGGTGAATGAACAAACATGGTGATTTATTCATATATTTATAATGGAAAATTATTGGTCATCAAAAGGAATGAAATCCTCATAGATGCTATAATGTATAGCATCAGAAACACAGTAACAGAAAGAGTAACACAAACAACTGCTATCCTGTGATGCCATTTCTATGAAATACCCAGAAGAGTTAATACTATAAAGACAGGAAGAAGTTTGGTGCTTGCAAAGGGCTGGGAGGAAGGGAGAATGAAGAGTGACTGTTTAATGGGTATGGAGTCTTCTTTGGTGGTGAAGGAAATGTAGAAAAAGACAGAAGGCAGAGCCCAGGGGTGGTGGTGCATACCTATAATCCCAGCACTCAGGAGGCTGAGGCAGGAGGATCACTGTGAGTTTGAGACCAGCCTGGGCTATAAAGTGAGCTCAAGGCCAGCCTGAGTTGCATGGCGAGACCCTGTCTCAAAAAAGCAAGCAAAAGAAAGAAAGAATGAAAGAAGAAAACAGGAGTGGCAGCATAACTCTGGGAGGCTGGGCCAGGGGGATTGCAAGTTTCAGCCTAGCCTGCACCATTTAGCAACTCAGAGAGACTGTCTTCAAATGAAAAATAAGAGGCCAGGGAGATAGCTCAGTAGAATAAGTGCTTGCCTGGGAAGCGCAAGGGCCTGGGTTCAATCCAAGATTCTGAAAAAAAAAAAAAAAAAAAAAAAAAAGGGCTGTGGAAATATCTTAGTGGCATAAGTGCCTGCCTGGCCAAGGCAAGGTTTCAAGTTTGAGTCGCAATACCAAAATAAATAAATAAATAAATAAATAAATAAATAAATAAAATAGTGTTGGGGTGTAGCTCTGTGCAAAGACCTTGGGTTCAATCTTCAGAATCAAAATCACTGGGTGAAGTTGTTTTTCTTTTCTTTTCTTTTTTTTTTTTTTTTTTGCTGGGAATTGAACTCAGGACCTTGAACTTGCCAGCCAGGCACTTATTCTACTGAGCTACCTCCCGAGCCCTTACACTTTTACAAATTTAAGACAGGGTCTCATTAAATTGCCCAGGCTGGCCTTGAACTTGTGACCCTCCTGCCTCAGTCTCCCACCCATCTGGGATTATGGGCATGTACTACTGTACCTGGCTCCACATGCAATTCTTTTTCTACTGAAGATAAGTAAAGTTAGAAGCTGACCATTCTTTTCCCTTTTCCTTACCTGTTAGTGTAAAGTTTGAGCTGAGAATTCATTGGCATTAGAATCTTCTCAGGCTGGTACTCTGAATTGAAAAGTTGGAGTTTTTCAAACACCTATAATGAGAAAATAATGTTTTCCTCCTCTCTGGAAGAGAAAAATTCCGACCTTTACTCACAGAGAGACTTGAGCAAAATGCTGAACAAGAAATAACTACAAGTAAACAGTCTGCCTAACTTTTTTTTTTTTTTTGTATTTTAGGGAAGGGTCTACAGGGTGTTCTGGGTCTCACTACTAGATCAGACTCGTGATCCACCTATTTACAGCCTCCCAAGAGCTGGGATTACAGGCACCTGCCACCATGCCCAGCCTCTAGTGCCTGTCTCAGTGTGCCCTGGGGATAGGGCGGGCACAGCAGGATCAAACCCCTGGCCCCTGCGCCTACTTACAGGCACTTTAATCAGCTGAGCTATTTGGCTGGCCCTTAACTTGTAATTAGTCTAAAATCTTCCACCATATATCCTAGACTAGAATATATAAATAATATCAACCATGCCTCTTTTTTTTTTTTTTTAAATCCTGCTTCTCACTGAAGGTCTGGGCTAGTGGCAAAGTTACACTTTCTATAGCCTCTGTGCTACTTACATATAAAATGACTTGGAAATTTCTGACTTTGGTTCTGGTAACCTGAAGCAAGATTTGGGGACAGAAACATACAATATTAAATCAACACCTAGTTATTCTACTTCTCTGTAAGAACACTTTCTTTCCTCTTTACACTGAATTACAGAACTAAAACTAAAAAGGAATAGAACCAGACCAAATTCAGAGGCAGAGAAGCTTACTTCCACCCTAGAAATGTTAATTATTGCTGCAGTATAGTGGCCCACATCTGTAATCGCAGCACTTGGGAGGCTGAAACAGGAGGACTGCCGTGAGTTCCAGGACAAGCTGGGCTCCATAGTAACTATAAGGCCAGCTGAACTACATAAGGAGATCCTGTCCCCCCCCCCAAACAAAAATAACAATAATAAAATAGAGTTGCCTGTAACCTCAGTACTTGGGAAACTGACAATAATTCCAAGTTTGAGGTCAGCCTGATCTATAAAACCCTGCCTCAAAAAACAAAATACTCCCCCTACCCCCCTACCCCCGTAGGCTATCAACTTTCTATGACAGCCCATGCTGTGTTTCCTGATGCAGCGTGTACTTTTATCTTTGCTCTTTCCCTCCTTCCTATTTACTTGCTCCAAGCTCACTCTGCAGAGCCAGTTTCTCCCTTACTCTTCATTTTTGTTTTCTTGAAGAAACTTTGCCACTGCTAGACAAAACAAAACAATATCAGGCGTGGTGGTGCATGTCTCTAGTTCCAGCACTCAGGAGCCTGAGGCAAGAGGACTGTGGTGAGTTCAAGGCTAGTCTGAACCATATGAGTCAGTCTCAAAATAATCAATCCAACAAACCAGTAAAAGGGGTACTTTAGTTCTTTGAAGTCTCATCATAAGTGGAAACTATTTATACTCTTACACTTTACCAGAAGTTAGGATATTTCATTCTATGGGGGGAATACCGTAGAACTAAATGAATATATTATAATGTCTCTGTGGATGGAGTGGCTTGGAAATGAGCCTGTCTCCTGTGTGGGAGCTGACAGGAGCTCATGAGCCAAAATTCTACAGTCAATACTTATGAAAGTAATCAGCAGGAATGATGAGCTCTGGGAACTACAAACCTGTTCTCTGGGGCCCGGTAGTAATTTCTTTCTTCAGTCTAAGCTCTTCAGGGATGATAAGAGGTTATAGCTTTCTCTCCTTGATACAGAGAAAGAAGACAGGTTTGGGAGCTTACCAGGATCTGCACTTCATCTGACAGTTCTGATACACTCCCTTCAAACTGCCCAGAGGAGCTGTTCACACAGCGGACAGTGACTCTGATGCTGGTCCTCCCAGCTGCTTTTGTGTGAACAACCATAGCAAAATTATTCTCATCTGGAAGCTGCAGGGAAACCTAGACAGAGCATGAATAGATTGAGAAATATTCATGAGTAAGAACTATGTCCTTCCTTGTAGCTGAAAGGAATGTGTGTTGGAAACAGCTATCCAGAAGAGCTAGAGTACAGGAGCCTGTTTTAGGCTCCTTTATATTCGTGTTGGTATGGTCACCAGAAAGGTAAATTCCTTTTTTTTCCTTTTTTTGTAAATCCCTGTTGTGGGAAGCACCTAGGATTCTTTCTAAAGCTATGGCAAAGACAATTCATTAACAGGAGGAAAATGGAAACAATGGAAATGGTTTTTAAAATGGGTTCACAGTTTGAGAATGGAGAAAAAAAAGCAAATCCACAATTCATGGAGTTTGGGGGAGTGGAAGTTAGGGTGAGGTTAAAAAAAGAGAAATGCTCTGTTTGTAGACAGTCTCATCACATACTTCAGGCTGGCTCGCTATGCAGCCCAGGCTGTCCTCAAACTTGCAATGATCTTCCTGCCCCAGCCTCCCACACACAGGGATTACGGGCATGCACCACTATGCCTGGCTGATTTTCCTGTTCATTTATTTGGAAGGCTCTGAATTTAGGCTGAAACTGGCCATCTCCTCTTGTGCCTTAATCACCATTCCAGTCTAGACTGAAGAAGGAGGGTTAGAACACAGACTTCTGGTAATAAGGAAGAGAAGGCCAATACTAAGGGAGATTTATATTCAAGCAGGTACTTGTCCACCTTTTTAGCACTCATTTCACTCTCTGTCTCCCTTGCCCTCTTGGTCTCTGAAAGCTCTCTTGCCTCAAAGTAGTCTCAACTTCTAAAATCACCTTTTCCTCCTCCTCAACATAAAAACTCCCACTTCCTTTGTGCAGATCTCAGTCAGCTGTCTGAAAGGAAGTCCATACTAAAGAATGAATGGCTTATAATAGTTTAATTGAAATGACTTTGAAAAATGACCTTTCCACAGTGCAGGGAATCTACTGTGTTGGGCATGGTGACCTTTCCATTGCCCATTCCGTCATCCGAAGCAGGAAAAGGCAGCTTTTCTTTGGCTCTTAATCATTTCTTTTGCTAAAGAAAAGAGTGTTGCTTTAGCTGAGTTTGGTGGTACACTCCTGTAACCAGCACTTGGCAGGCTGAGGCAGGAGGCTGGCCTGCGTTTGAGGCCTGCCTGAACTACACAGCAAGACTGTCTCATTTTTTTTTTTTTTTAAAGGGGAGGAGTGCCTTAGATAAAATGAAAGAAAGAGATAGAACAGAGGGTAAGGCTATTCCTCACTTTCACAAAACCCTTATTTGTTACCTAAGAACAAAAGCCAAATTCCTATGTTGAATTACTCCCGACTAGGTACAGTTCCATTTCTTTTCAGAACCGCGAATTGAACTCAGGCCCTTGTGCTTGCCAGGAAGCACTTATTCCACCGAGCGCTCTCCCCAGCACCAGTTCCTTCTTTCTTCAATTCCAGGGATAGTCAGGCCCAGGGGAGTCCCTGACAGATGGGAGATCTGGTTAATAGTTTCCCTTCAATTATAAATGTAGGATATCTTTAGAAAGATTATAGATAGTTTTTTTTTTTTTTTTGTTTTGTTTTTTTGTTTTTTGTTTCAGAACCAGGGATTGAACTCAGGCCCTTCCGTTTGCCAGGCAAGTGCTTACTCTACTGAGCCATCTCCACAGCCCATAAGTAGTTGTTCTTACTTTTCCCAGATTTCTCCTCTTTTCTTCTCAGGTGGTTCCAGAAACATTCTCCTAATTGTAGGTGTCACAGTCTTTTTTGTCCCAAGGTCCAACTCTGTAGTTCGGGCTGGCCTTGAATTCACTTTGTAGACCAGGCTGGCCTGGAACCTACAACGATCCTCCTTCCTTAGCCTCCTAAGAGCTGGGATTACAGGCATACAACTAGATTAGACAGTTCTTCCTCAGGCAGAGCCCAGACCCAGGTCACTGCCCTGTTCCTAGACCCTAGCTGAGTTCCAGTTTCTCAAACTAGGTGAGTTTCAGCAAACTTACACTCAGGTAATGATCTGATTTGTATTGTAGCTGTTTTGTTACAGAAAAAGAATCACCTCTTTTCTTTTTTTGTCTTTTTGAGACAGGGTTTGCTATGCAGCTCAGGCTTGTCTTCAGCTCACTTTGTAGCCCAGATTGGCCTCAAACTCACAGCAATCCTGTGGCCTCAGCCTGAGTGCTAGGTGTGTGCTACCACAAATCAATTATTTTCTTTTTGTTTGTTTTTTGTATTTTTCAACTAGGTTTCTTCCTGTACAGTTGAGACTGGCTTTGAGTTGACTATTTAGCCTAGGCTGGCCTTGAACTTGCAGTGATCCTCCTGCCTATCTCCACAGATTTCAGGCCTGTGCCACTACATCAGGCTCTATTATTATTTTTTTGGGGTTTGATATTATTTGCATAAAAACATCAAACCTATTTTCTCTTTTTTTTTTAAATTTTTATTTATTTATTTTGTGTGTGTGTGGCAAGCTCAGCCCACCAGGGGGCGGGGCTGGCTGGCATGTGGTGCTGGGGGATTGAACCGTGGTCCCTCTGTTTTGCTTAGCTTAGCTTGTTCTAAATAGGTGCTTTAGACCACTGAGCCATCTCACCAGCCCCATCAAACCTATTTTCAAAAACATAAGATCTTAAATTGTGCTGGTGGATTTCCTCGAAGTCAATCCTGAAGGCTTTCAGGGTTCCAGACACAGTGGGTGCTGAACTGGGGCACCCTTCTTAAGTCTGCCACTGATTTAAGGGACCCTGCTCAAAGTCAGCTGCCCAACAGTGGACACAGCAGCCCCATGTCACCACAGTCCCTGCCCTCCCTCTATGGGAAGCTGTTCTGTCCCCATTCCCAGGAGGGCAGCCCAGGGCTTGCCATGCTGTGGTGCCCTCCAGAGCCATCCAGTGTTGTCTTCTTTTCTTCTTTTTTTTTTGCGGAACCGGGGATTGAACTCAGCGCTTGCCAGGGAAGCGCTTATTCTACTGAGCCATCTCCCCAGCCCCTAAGCACTGTCTTTCTCACTGCTAATGACTGTATCCATCATGCAAGG